TAAAAATATATTTAAAATCAACTATTTTTTTAAAACTCTGTAGCCTATACTTTGGTATTTCTTCCATTGCTTTTATGCATAGAAAGGTTTTTTCTATCCCCAATCACCTCTGTTTCTTAAAGTTTTGTGTTTATTACTTAACTTTATGATCAATCTGAAAATTATTTCACTTTAAGGCAAGAAATGAGACTACTACTTTCTTGCAACTAGACAATTTCCCCAAAACAACTTATTGAATAATTCACCTTCTTCTCAGTGAATTATGATCCTTTCAAACTTTATTACAAATGAAGTCCTTGTATGCACTAGGATTACCTGTCTTGTTCTATTGCTTGGCTTTTCTGTTCTTGAATCAGTAATATAGTGTTTTATTTGTTGTTGTTCTTGTGTGTTCAAGTCATTTCTGACTCATAGCAACCCTATGTGACAGAGTAGAACCGCTCCATTGTCCTAGGCTATAATCTTTACGGGAGCAGATTGACAAGTCTTTTCTCCTGAGGAGCCGCTGGTGGGTTTGAACTGCCAACCTTCAGTTAGCAGCTGAACACTTAACCACTTAACTCCTTGTCTTTTATTTACAAATAGTGTAATTCATTTTAATATTTTATAAGGCAAGTCCCCTTCGTCACTTTTCCCCCCAAAAAAGTTATCTCTTAGCTACTTTCACTTTTTTCTTCAAGTCAAAAGATTCTTTTAGGAATCTCATACATTGCTGGTGTGAATGTAAAGTAGTAAAATACCTATACAGGAGAATTTGGCAATATCTAATAAAACTACCCACCAACCACCTGTCAGTTTCTTATACTGCGGTGGCTTGCATGTTGCTATGATGCTGGAAGCTATGTCACCAGTATTTCAAATACCAGCAGGTTCACCCATGGTGGACAGGTTTCAGAAGAGCTCCCAGACTAAGACTAGGAAGAAAGGCCTGGTGGTCTAATGCCAAAAATTAGCCAATGAAAACCCTATGGAATCTCAACAGAGTGCTGGACGATGAGCTCCCTAGGTTGGAAGGCACTCAAAATACACGATAGCTGCAACAATGGACTCAAGCATCCCAACTGTTGTGGAGATGGTGAAGGATTGGGCAACATTTTGTCCTGTTGTACATGGGGTCGCCATGAGTTGAAGCCAGCTAGATGGCAACGAACTACAACTTTGGTTTAAATTAATGTATACTTAGAAATCACATTCTTTGACTGTGAAACTTGAGGTGAAAGAGCCTACTGATGTGCAGCTGAGTTCAATGAGGTACGAAGTGACATGTTTTGAACTTAGAAATCTATGGCTTTCACTCCTAGGACTATTTTTCCTAAGAAATTATTTCATATCCTATTGTTTGGTTCGGTGTTTGAGGAGTTTAAATGGTTTTTAATTTGAGAAGGTTTACTAGTCTTAATTAAAGTACAGTAAAAACCAAAGCACTCAACGAAGTTCTCTCTTCCCAGTCTATAATATGGCAAATACCACCCAATCACACACTTCCATTTTAGTAGATCTTAGATGAACCAAGACAAGGAAAGCATATTCACAAACTCATTTGTTGTATAAGCATTTTTTTTATTTTACTGTGTTAAAAAAATATATAATAAAACATTTTCCATTTTAGCTATTTTTAAGTGTAGAATTCAGTGGCATTAATGACATTCGCCATGTTGTGCAACCATCACCACTATCCATTTCCAAGTTTTTCATCACCCCAAACAGAAACTCAGTGCCTCTTAAGCAGTAACTCCCCTCTCCTGCCGGCCCTTGTAACCACTAATAAACTTTTGTTTCTCTGCATTTGCCTATTCTAGATATTTCATAGAAGTGGGATCTTACACTGTTTACCCTTTTCTGTCTGACTTATTTCATTCAGCATGTTTTCGAGGTTCGTCCATGTATGTTGTATGTGCATTTTGTAACACATCAAGAAGGTTTTCTTACTGAAGGGTGGGGAGTGGGGGAAGGTGAAGGCCATATCCCTGAACATGGAAATAGCTTTATTGAGAGATCTCTTCATGGCATTATTTTTTAAGGTCATGGGATTTTACCTGTTTAGGAAAAGTTAAAACTGAAAATCCCTTGGTTTTCGTATGTCAGATTTATTATTTTATTCATTATTATTATTTTTCTTTCTTTCCAGAGATAGACTACTGTGCCTCACCCAATCATGGATGTCAGCATGAGTGTTTTAACACAGAGGATTCTTATTCCTGCCGTTGCCTGAAAGGGTTTACCCTGAATCCAGATAAGAAAACCTGCAGAAGTAAGTCACAGTGGGTGTTAGAGAAGGGCTTGTTCTACCAAATGCCCCTTTAGGTAGTTTTCCTTTCCTTTCGAATCTTAAGCACAATATAGTTTTACCTAGTATTTGTGTTTACTAACATGACTCTGCCCTTTATTTTACCTTTTGGCTTATTGATCCTACTATAAGGATAACGATTTTTACAGATATGAATAGACTGGGTCTGGCCATTGGACTCATGTAGCAAAGTCAGAGCCCAAGTTGAAGCTCCCACCTATCTGAAATGAAATGTATTTGGGATTTGAGAAAGAAATGTCTAATCCCAGAGCTGGTTGATAAAAGGAGCTGGTTTCTTCCAGTTCTATAAGATTGGACACTTTATGGCTTTCAAGAGGGAGGAAATGAAGGAAGAAGAAAAGTAAGACTCTGGGGCATCCTAGCAGCATTTAAGGGGCACAAAGTGTCAGAAGTATGATATTAACGATGTGCCAAGCCTTTCATGTGGCACATCAAGGGGCTTGACCAGGGCTCCAGAGCATGGACCTCAAACAGGATCTCTTCAAACCAGATTATTCCTGAGAGACCACTAAAACAGAAGCTTCGTACAGACAGAGATTTTTGTCTTTTTCTCACTGCTGAATCCTCAACACCTCAGAGTGCCTGGCCATATGGAATAGGTGCAGCCTAATATTTGTTGAATGAATGAATCAGTGAATCTCTCTGAGACTTACCATCCTGGGGAAATCACAACTGTTGTTTGAATTACTCAGTCTTGTTCAAAAGAGGGCCTTTTTAAAACACGCAAGTTGTGATTTTTTTTCAGAAGTATTCCCATAGTCAGTACACTCTCATGCGCAATGGATTGTTTGAGTTCTTCCGACAATGTCATTCACAGAATTCTCAGAGCTCCTCTGTGCTTCTTCACCCACTCCTTCCTGGCAATATGTGTAGCAGGACTGAGTTTTCAAAGGTTTAACCATGTATCTCTTTTGAACAACATTGTGAGCTCTATGATTGAATCTAGATGAGTCACATTCTGCTAGTAGCACATATTAACTTCTGCACTCCTTCTAATATATGTTAAACATTGTTTGGTAGCAGATGGCTGTGGAGCCCGTATTTTGAAACAGCCTCATTTATAGAAGTGCCCACTGCCTTGCCTGGATACAAACTCTGGAAAAAAAACTCATTGCTGTCGAGTCCATTCCGACTCATTGTGACCCTATAGGACAGAGTAGAACTGCCCCACAGAGTTTCCAAGCAGCACCTGGTGGATTTGAACTGCAGACCTTTTGGTTAGCAGCCATAGCACTTAACCACTATGCCACCAGGGTTTCCAAACCCTAGAAAGATCCAAGCATTAAATGGGAATTTTAATTGAGAGCATTCAGAGTGTGAGAACAATTAGATGGAGTATATTCCAGTAGACCATAGATGCACATAATACGTTGGAGGGCCAACTTTTTTGGCCTCTCCTTCTGTGCTGTTCACACCTTCTTCCAGGGGGAGTGTGTCAGTGGTTGACACCCAGGGAAAGTCACTCACTGGCAGATTCATTTGTGGACCGAAAGCTCTTACGTGAAAGAGGATAATTAGATGTGGTTCAACTCAGACTCTCCTTGTGGTTGCAAGCCTCACTTTGTGTTACTAATGGAGTGAGTGAAGAAAGGAAACAAGTTAGGCACGCGGCCATCGGTGGAGAGAATTTCCTTTAAGTTCTGCAACTCTTACCAGTCCTGCATGATTCCCTCAACCTTTGCCTCTCTCTCCACACCCTGCCTGGAGAGGAACTTGGAATAAGAGAAGAATCCAAGGCAGTGAGCACACCATTATCAATGGAGGAGGGAGGCCAAAAACAGGAGGGAGAGTGGCGAGGAAGTGACTGTTTGGGAGTAGTTTGACTATCAGTCATCGACCCGCAGATGGGCCTGTTTGCAGACTGCGGCACAGTCCAGAGTCCCTAATGCTCATTCGTATATATTCAGTGACTATAGCTCCATTTCCTCTTTAGCCAGGTGTCCTAATTTTCTATCCAAGAAAAATAGAATTTTTTTCCTACAACACTGGTGTCCTCATCAGCCCTTCTCCCCAACCCTGCTTCTTCATTACATTTTCCATTGTCTTTGCTGCGAACTCAGCCCTCTCAACTCCTGAGGTCAGCCTCATAGAGCTTCCCCTGACGTAATGTTTGCACTTGGTGGGTTATGGCAGACAGCTGTGAATGGAAGCGAGTGCTCACTGTCTGCCGTTCTCTGGGGCATTCCATGGAAGAGGGAAGCAAAGACACTGGATTTAAAATCTGAAGCTTTTATTAGAAGTTGAGGTCTCCTAAGTGATCTGATTACAAATCTAGAGCTCAGGGTACAACCATTTACAGTTAATGGAGGTTGATCGATGGGGCTATTTTCAAATCTAATACAAAATCTATTTTTCAAAGGAATTTGATGTTATTCAACTAAGCTGGAAAAAAAAGTTCAAGGCAGGATCTTACTGAAGAAAAAACTCTTGGCCAGGATTTGTTCTTCCTCCTCCTCCCGGCATCATTTCTCCTACTAAAAAGTACCGTCATCGTCTGACTTAAAAGCATAAATTATTAAGGCGGAGGTGCAAAGCCCAGAAACTGGGTCTGGCCTGGCTCTCTAGGTGGGGCTCCAGAGCTGAATCTGATGTGGGTGGGACTCAGTGTGCTGGGCTCCAGGATTGCTCATTCTGGTACCACAGGCTGGTTGGTGCTCCCTGGAGCTGGAGATACTACTCTTAGAAAAGCAGGTGTAGGTAGACACAGGTTGGACTGAGCTGGAAGATGTGAGGTCCAGCCTTGGCAAGGTCACTCATATCAGCCATGTGATCTCAGACAGGCCATTTTACTCCTCTGGACATGGATTTCCTAAACTGAAAGAATAGGACTTCCTGTTTTATTCTGATGCCTTGTCCAATTTTTCTGAATCTTACTATCTGTGCCACTCAGCTGGCATTATAATTTAGTGCCTGGGGTCACTAATATTTAATGTTTTTAATGTCTTACCTTCCCACTAAGGATCCCTGGTGGTGTAATAATTAAGCACTCAGCTGCTAAATGAAAGGTCAATGGTTCAAACCCACCAATGGCTCCATGGGAGAAAAGACCTGGCAATCTGCTCCCATAAAGATTTCAGCCTAGGTCATAACAAAGTTTATTAAGAAAATGTTCTGCATCCTACTTTGGTGAGTGGCGTATGGGGCCTTAAAGTCTAGCGAGCAGCCATCTAAGATGCATCAATTGGTCCCAACCCACATGGAGTAAAGGAGAATGAAGAACACCAAAGTCACAAGGGAAGTATTAGCCCAAGAGAAAGGGCCACATAAACCAGAGACTGATTCAGCCTGAGACCAGAAGAACTAGATGGTGCCCGGCTACCACTAATGACCACGTTGGCAGGAAACACAACAGAGAGTCCCAGATGAAACATGAGAAAAGTGGGGTGCAGAACTCAAATTCTAGTAAAAAGACCAGACTTAATGGTCTGACTGAGACTGGAGGAACCCTAGAAAGTATGGCCCCTGGACTCTCTGTCAACCCAGAACTAAAACTGTTCCCGAGGCCAACTCTTCAGACAAAGATTAGACTGGACTATGGGACATAAAATGATACTCGTGAAGAGAGTGCTTCTTAGCCCAAGTAGATACAGGAGACTAAATGGGCAGCTCCTGTCCGCAGGTGAGATGAGAAGGCAGAGAGGGTCAGAAGCTGGTTGAATGGACACGGGAAATCAGGCATGGAAAGAAGGAGTGTGCTGTCACAGTACAGGGAGAGCAATTAGGGTCACATAACAATGTATGTATAAATTTTTGTATGAGAGACTAACTTGGATTGTAAATTTTCACTTAAAAGTACAACAATAAAATTAAAAAAAGAAAAAAAAGATTTCAGCCTAGGAAACCCTATGGTACAGTTCTACTCTGCCCTATAGGGTTGCTATGAATCAGAAGTGACCTTCCCAGTTGGGTCTCCTTCTTTGAGTTCCATGTAGAGTTCTCTGTGGAGTTGGCACTCATAAAGACTTTAATTTATTGTCTGACAGTTCCATCATCTGACCTTGGAGAGGTTTACTGGCCACGCTGGGACTTACCAGTTTGTGAGGAGACCTAACCAGATATGCGGTGCATAGTAGGCACTCAATAAATACTTACTGAGTGAATAAATGAGTAAGTGAATATCTAAGTAACACACATGAAGAAATATGACTCAGGTATGTAAAGAAAGCAAAGAGCTACAGTTAAACCTCTGCTATATGGAACCATCCAGAAAAGGGTCCTTTCAAATAGCTGTTTGCTAGATAGCTGAATAATAACCTCATTAAGAATCTAAATGTTTTTCAGTTGGATCATTTTGGGTATAAAACTTTCTTAAAGACAATGCTGGCTTTTTAAAACAGAGTGTGCTGAAGATAATTTCACCTTTCCCAGACAGCCCAGGTTCCCTTCTATGAGCTTTGGTTACTGATGTGTAATGAAGTCATTCCTGCAGGCCCTACGCTAACTAGCCCCAGTCTGTTGGGCCCTTTGTGTTCTGCTTGTTTGTTTGTTTGGGGCTGATGTTTTATTGCCGGGCTTATTTTTCTTGATCAAAGTTCTTCTTTGCTTGTACCTGGGTACTCCATTTTGCTCCGCACAGGTGAGTTTGTTGATGAGTTCCAGACAGATGAACCAAAACTGCACACAGCTAACAATATTCTGCCTCTCCTCATGCAGAAGGGAGTAGTTACGGAGAGAGTGACAAGGGTCAATAACAGCACCGTGATATCTCCTCCTGTAGGCCATCACCTGCAGCATGTCATGGAGACTTCCGTCTGCGCACTCAGTCTGTGGTCGCTCGTTCTTATACTCAATGCATACAGGCAGTTCTGTCCACCACCCACTGAGGGGGAGCACATAATGTACCCTTTAAAGGATGGGTCTGGGGTCCCTCAAGACTGACTTCCATTTACTGCTCCATTTTTACTAGCTCTGGGATCGTGAACAAGATATTAACCTCTCTCAAAAAAAAGATATTAACTTCTCCAAATCTTCATTTCTGCATCTTTAAATTATGGATAATAATAGCACATACCTTGTAGAATCAAAGGAAATTGTGTTTATAAAGTGCTTAGCCTAGTGCCTGGCATTTAGTAGGTGCTTAAGAGTTGTTAGCAGCTATGGTTATCATCATTAACATCATTATTGGGGGCCTCTGACAATGAGGAAAAAATATGGTCTGAAAGAAAGAGATTGAGGCATCACACCAAAATATGTTACATAACCATTGTGACGAATGCTGTGAAAGAGAGGTCCAATGCTTGAAAGAGAGGTCATGGGACATCGCTGGGGAAAAGACATTGAGCTAACATGTGATAGAAGATAGGGATTAACTAAGTAATGGTGGGAGTGGAATGGGAAGGATAGGGCATTACAGGTAGAAAGACCAGCAGGTACATGAGAAGGGTCTGGAATAAACCGGAATGAGGCTGCGAAGTGACTCCTAGGCCGTACTAGAGGTCTCAGTCTTTATCCTAAGGGCAGTGAGGAGCCATTGATACAAGAGGGTGACACGTGTCATATCTAGAAGTTATTTGTATATGTAAGCTCCCTCAAATACTTTTTGGGAAGAGACATGATAAATAAAAATAAAATGTGTACATTCTTGGTTCATTACTTTATGGTTTCAGATTATTTCCCCTGTATCAGTTAGGATACTTTTTGGCCATACAAAACAGAAAATTCAATAAACAATGTCTTAAGCCATGGACATTTACTTTTTACCTAAGAGTTCCAGCAGTGGTTGGTCCCAGAGTTGACTCATTGTTACCAAGAACCCAAACTCCTTCTGTCCTTTTATTCCGCCATCCTCAGCATGTTGACTTTTCATTCTCATGCTTGTTGCTTCATGGCTACAAGACAGCTGCTGCAGCTCCAGGTATCATACCCTTACACTATACTAGATCCAAAGACAGAAAGAAAAGAGGGCAGGAAAAGGTATTTCTCCTCATGTACCTCTGTCTTTTCAGGGAGGAAAATCTGTCCTAGGGGCCCCAGTAAACTTCTTATGTCTCATTGGCCAAGATTAGGGCATATTCCCACCCTTAAAACCAATTACTGGCAAAGAAGAACATGGTTGCCAAGCTGGCTTAGACCAAACATGATTCATTCCCTGGGGGTTAGGGTTCTATTCCCAGGAAGACAGAGGTAATGGTTGTTGGCAAGGCAACAAACATCCCCAGAAAAAGAACACTGCCGTACTGTTAAACTAATCCAGCCCAGCCAATGAGGTTGGTGGTGACCTTTTCTCCAGCACCAGTCTCATAAAGGCCCTTCACAAGCTCATTTTATTTCCTTTTACAGTTCTCCATCTCCCCCATAACCTGCTGTTTGTGGGATCGTATGGTTTTAGCATTTTCTACCAGGAAATGAAATTGTTAATTGGCTACTGGTAATGATGGAGTTTCCATCTGCTGGCAGGAACGCGGCTTGGACAGGGGTTATTCTTACAATGGAACAGAACTGCAGTAACCTGGGGCAGCATCAGAAATATGTCTTCTGATGTATTTTCAGTTTGATAGTGTGGATGCTCTCATGATCTCACGCAGAGCAAAGTTAAGCATTTGGGGCCCTTCTTAATGTAACTGCCACTTCCTGACTCTCCTAAACAGCTGTATATTTTGCAAGATCAGCTTTTGTTTATTCGACCTCATGTTGTCCAGTGTGACTGCTGGATGTCACTGGAGACGCCAGCTTCCTAATGCTTTGGGTCCTGGTGATCAGATTAACTCAAGGAGGAGACCGATTGGATTTTCTCAGCTTTTCCATCTTTCTTAGAAGGGGAAGGGCGGGGAGCTGTGGTCCTTGCCTTAGTCATCTAGTGCTGCTATAACAGAAATACCACAAGTGGATAGCTTCAACAAAGAGAAATTCTCTCACCGTCTAGTAGGTTACAAGCCAAAATTCAGGGCGTCAGCTCCAGGGGAAGGCTTTCTCTCTCTGTTGGCTTCTCATCAATCTTCCCCTGGAGTAGGCGCTTCACCACGCAGGAACCTCACGTCCAAATGACGCGCTGTGCTCCCGGCACTGCTCTCTTGGTGGTGTCAGGTCCCTAACTCTCTGCTCACTTCCCTTTCCTTTTATCTCTTTTAAGCTAAAAGGTGGTGCAGGCCACACCCCAGGGAAACTCCCTTTACATTGGATCAGGGTTGTGACCAAAGTAAGGGTGTTACAATCCCACCCGAATCCTCTTTAACATAAAATTACAATCACAAAATGGAGGACAACCACACAATACTGAGAATCATGGTCCAGCCAAACTGATACACACATTTTTGGGGGGGCATAATTCAATCCATGACAGTCCTCAACCTATTTCTCTGTTCGTTGGCTATCAGAGGGGAAAAAGACCAGTGCTGAAGACTCCAGAGGTATACTTCAGGCATCAGGTTTTCTTTCAAACAAGCTCCCAGAGAGCAGGCACTGTTTTCTCTGCATCCTGCAGAGCGCCTCATTGACTGAAGTGCTCCTGCCTTTCCCCCTTCTCTGCAAAGTCTTCCTAAGGGCACCGCTCTGGCCTTGTCCCTTCCACAAACACTCCCACCTCACCCCAGCCCTCCAGCCCCCTGTCTGACCCCTCATAGGCTCCACCCCACGGCTTGCAAGGTCTTGCATGGCTCTCTTTACCACCCCAGCCTCATCTGAATCCTCTGCTCTTTGTAGCTCCCCCAAATGCGCTCGCTAACCCTCATCCACAGGCCTTTGTGTTTGCTGCTCCTTACTCTCTGCTCTCTCTCGACCCGCCATGCTTTACCTGCCTGACTCCTCTTCAAGGCCTCCAGCTGGTCATCACCTCCTCCGGGAAGACCCCCTGATCCCAGGAGTCTGTTGGGCCTCCCCATCTGGCTTTGTGTTGTATCATCTCTCTGTCTTATGACTGCCTGCTCACGTGTCTGTCTCCTCACTACAGCGGGAGCCCTTTAATTAAGGCAGGAGCCTCAGCTGGAGTGACTCCATTCCCACCACCATTTCACCCCCCTCACCCTGCCTTCACATCTAGCTCAGGGCCTGGCACTTGGTTGGTGAAGAAATGAAGAAATGACCCATTCAGGGCTCACTCTGCAGACAGGCACCCACCAGCTGTCTCCATGGGGTGCTGGGAGAGACCTGAGGGGCTGACCTCACTGCCCTTAGAGAAGCCCAGAGATAGATGAAGGGTCTACCCTTTCTCTCCTCAGGGATCAACTACTGCGCTCTGAACAAACCAGGCTGTGAGCATGAATGCATGAACACAGAGGAAAGCTACTATTGCCGGTGCCGCCGGGGCTATACCCTGGACGCCAATGGCAAGACCTGCAGCCGTGAGTGTGCCCCCGGGGCAGGCAATGCTGGGGAGATGGGCTCCAGCAGGCTGTCCGGGCTCACTGGCAGCCAGTCACTTCTGAGACTCCTGGGTTTCCTGTGGGCCTGATGGTCCAACAGACTTAACCTCTCCTAGCCTCAGTTTCATCATCCATAAAATGGGACTATTAAAAATACCTACCTAATAGGGGGGCACGAACGGTTAAGCACTCAACTAACTACTAGCCGAAAGATTGGCAGTTCAAACCCACCCAGAGGTGCCTTGGAAGATAGGCCTGGTGCTCTGCTTCCAATTGGTCACAGCCATGAAAACCCTATGGAGCAGTTCTACTCTGCACAGATGGGGCCACCATGAGTCAGAATTGACTCGACGGCAACTAACAGCAGGGTGAGTGGTAAGGATTAAAAGAGTCAATACGTATAAAACACTTAGAACAGTGGTGCCAGGCACATAATACGCGCTCAGTAAATACTAACTAATATTATTATTTGCCGCTAAGAACATCAGCTGGGAGTCAGGCAGGCCTAAATTCAAATCCAGGTTCTACCACATATCTTGGGCAAGTTATTTAATTTCTCTAAGCCTTGATTTCCCATCTGTTTGAAAAGAAAAAAGTGAAGATAATAATAGTATTGATCTCCCAGGGTTAAGGGGAATAACAGGGGCCATTTCAGTCTCTTAGCACTGCCTGGCACAAGGTAAGCATTCAGTCAATGGTAATAATTCATTATTATCATAGAGCCATGAAAGTGATCAGTGCCTGGCCTTATGTCACCTTGAGTTGGCATGAGAGGCCAGAAGGGACAGACCTCAGAAAGTACTTGTGCTACCACAGAGCTGATCTAAGGGCAGAGCTGACAAACATGCGGCTTTTTGTGAAGGCTTTTCTTCATTTCCTTGTGTAAGAGCCACAACAAAGCTCCATTTGGTGATGTAAATGCATGGAAACTTGCAGGCTTTGCCAGCTGGATGGCTCCGTCATTCTTTATGAGGCACAGTCTCCTCTGGCCCAGGCCAGCAGGGGTGGGAGCCCATGAGCACTGTGGTGGCTCCCTGTGACCCTGGCACACTGGGATGGGGGCTCGGTGACATAGAAGGGGCCCTTTGTGTGGTTTTCACCCAGCAAGCCGCGCATCTGCTCCAGCTTTGGAGACAGAGATAGATTGTGAATGAGAACAGTGCAGCTGTTGAACACTTGGACCCTAAACCTCCAGGAGGGGAGGCTTCACAAATGAAGTATTAGGGACAGAACAGCCCTCAGGAAAACTTGCTCCCTTCAGTCTTCAGAGGGAACAAGTGCTTCAGTCAGGCTTTCTAAGGGCTTATCTTGGAGGTCAAAGAACTTTTGAACCAGCAAATGGGTGCAAAAGTCAGCACCCTGCAGTATTGGATGTCTCTGAGTCCTATGAGAAGCCAGTGGAGAGCAGAGGGTCTTTCATTCAACAAGGAGACGCCTTTGTGAAGACGGGTATATGTAGATCCTGCCTTCTTCCAGGAGTGTGGGGCCCTGGCAGGTTTCCGGGGCAGGGTGGGCATGACCTGACTGAGCCCACCTAGACCACATGGCCATGGCCTGCCTCTCCCACCTAGCATGTCTTGAGGGAGCCCAGAAATGCTCAGAGCAGGGGCCAGAAGAGATTAGGGTCTCTTGTCTCTCCGTGATATAATAAGAAGGATCCTCTAGTCAGCTCTGAAAACCAGTTGCCATTGGGTCGATTATAACTCATGGTGACCCCACGTGTATCAGAGTAGAACTGTGCTGCACAGGGTTTTCAATGGCTGATGTTTTGGAAGATCACTAAACCTTCTTCTGAGGCACCTCTGGGTGGACTCGAACCTCCAACCTTTCAGTGAGTAGCCGAGCACGTTGTTAACCACCCAGAGACTCCGCTTAGCGCCATTTTGTCTAGATATCCCCAGAGAAAGCCATGGTATTCTGCTCCCCTTGAGGGCTCAGGGAGCCCCAGGCCATAGTAACAGCAAGCTCTGACAAGGGCCTTGGTCTGCGCAGGGCATTGCTGTAGCACTTTCCATCTGCTAACTCTTTATCCTCACAATAGCCCTATGAGGCTGCTCCATTCTTATCACTATTTAAAGATAGGAAAATGGCAACACACAAAGATTGAGTAACTTTCCCAGAGTCACACGGCCAGTAAGTGGTAGAACCAGAATGTGAACACAGGCATCTGGCTCCTGAGATCCTGTGTCTGCAGTAGGTGCATCCAGCAGTGGAACGTTCCAGAAGGCACTGGTCCCAAGCTCCTTGGGGGTGAAGAGACCCACTTGGTGGCCCTGCACAAGGCCTCCAGTGTCTCTCCGGTCTCTGGGGGTGCACTTTCTCCATCAGAGAAATCTGGGAGGCCATCTGCAGGGCTGTGGGAGCCGCTTACCACAGCTGTGTGTTCACTATCCTTCAGCACTTGCTGCCCAGCAGAGCCAGCTGTGTGACCTTCCAGTGCCAGGATCGGCCCCACATGCAGGCCCAGGCTTTTGGTTTATTTTCTGAAATTAAGTGTCCTGGTTATGGGAAAAGGGAACAAAACAAAACAAAACACTTTTTCGTTTGCAAATAGAAATGAAGCTATACCACTAATTCTTACTCAGCACTATTCAATAACAGCAAGCATTCATTGAGTGGTTACCGTGTGCCAGGTACTGTTCTGACGGCTTTACATGTATCAACTCATCAAATCCTCACCACATTCCTATAAGAAAGCAACAGTCACCATCCCCACTTCCCAAGTAAGGAAGTGACTGGCCCAGCCTCTCATGGCTAGGAAATGGTGGGGATGGGATTTGAGCCCAAGTAGTTTGATGCTATAAATTCAAGTGGACCCAGAGGCCTCTTGGAAGAAATGCCTGGTGACCTACTTCTGAAAAATCAGCCATTGAAAACCCTGTGGAGCTCAGTTCTACTCTGACATACATAGGGTCGCCATGAGTCAGAATCAACTCCATGGCAACTGTTTTTTTAGTCTGACGCCAGAGCCTTCATTCTTAAGCGCTGCTTTTGTCAGCTGTGTGGCTTTGGGCAAGCAACTTGACCTTCCCTAGCCCCGGTTTTCTCTCTGTAAAATTAAAATAGCACCTGCTTGGAGACTGGGAAATGAGTCTTTAGGGCTGTACTCTTCCAAAACACGAATGGGAATAAAAACAAACAAACAAGGCTAATTTTCCAGAGAGCCCAAGGGCGCTGGATGAAACGCAGCCTTCCCCAGGGCTAGTTTTGATACCAGTGAAATGAAATAGTCCCTGAGGGGCTTTGCCCAAGAACGTTTTGTTTGTTTAATGCTCCTACCGGTATGGCAGGCTCCTGGGTGGCTCAAAGGTTTGCTCTCCACTGCCAACCTAAAGGTTGGTGTAATACTCCGTGGAGTGCAGTTCTACTCTGTAAGGCAGGGGTTCCCCAAGAGTCAGAATCGACTCCACAGCAACGGGTTTGGTTTTGGGGTTTGCTGGTGCGGCGTTGCTCCGAAGTCCTTTACACTTTCGTGTTTGTAACGGCGGCAGGAGTGGATCACTGCGCGCAGAACGACCATGGCTGTGAGCAGCTGTGCGTGAACACGGAGGAGTCCTTCATCTGCCAGTGCTCGGAAGGTTTCCTCATCAACGAGGACCTCAAGACCTGTTCCAGTGAGTCCTCATCACCTGCCTCTCGGGAAACCGTCTTCCTAGGGAAATGTTTGTAGCAGAAGTGAAACAGGAAACTGCCCTCTTTCTTCCACCCCTCTCTCTATTCACGAAGGCTGTAGGGGTGTCCACGTGGGATCCATGAGTTCAAAGGCGGGAGTCAGAGTGGCGGTTACTTCATTCCGTTATCAGTAGCCTGAGGGCGTCGTTGTCGAAGGCTGCGGTGCCCACCTGTGCTCTTACTTGCTGTTTGGTTTTGCAGGGGTGGATTACTGCTTGCTGAGCGACCATGGTTGTGAGTACTCCTGCGTCAACACGGACACATCCTTTGCCTGTCAGTGTCCCGAGGGACATGTGCTCCGTAGTGATGGGAAAACCTGTGCAAGTGAGTGTCTGAGGCCCTGCCACACGCAGGACCTGGAACAAGTGTGCCGTGGTCTGTGTGCACCCAGTACGTGTACATGTGTGTACGTGTGTAAGGTGATTTGGGCCCTGGTGGCTGTCTCTCCCTGTGCTCCCAAGCTTCCTTCCTACACTCCTAGAAACAGCTTTTTCCCATTTCCATGGTCTGTGTCGCTGTCATTCTGAAGCTGGACAGAGCTGTGTTTCTTAGCTCTCACTGCTCTACCCCCAAACCAAACCAAACTAAACCAAACCCGTTGCAACTGAGCCGATTCCGACTCATAGCAACCCTATAGGACAGGGTAGAACTGCCCCCTAGGGTTTCCAAGGCTATAATCTTTACAGGAGCAGACTGCCACATCTTTCTCCCTTGGAGTTGCTGGTGGGTTAGACCTTTTGGTTAACAGCTGAAAGCTTAATCACTGTTCCACCAGATACCTGCATCCTGGCCTAAAATGGCAGTCAGCCAGCTTTGCACATGGGTGGTACAAATGGTTAAGTGACTGCTAGCCTGCAGATTGTTGGTTTGATGGATTTTGAGTTAGTTTTTGTGCATAGTGTGAGGTATGGGTCTTATTTCAGTTTTTTGCAGATGGATATCCAGTTATGCCAGCACTATTTGTTAAAGAGACTGTCTTTTCCCTAATTAACGGACTTTGGGCCTTTGTCAAATATCAGCTGCTCATAGGTGGATTAATTTGCATCTGGATTCTCAATTGTGTTCCATTGGTCTATGTATCTGTTGTTGTACCAGTACCAGGCTGTTTTGACTACCATGGTGGTATAATAGGTTCTAAAATCAGGTAGTGTGAGGCCTCCCACTTTGTTCTTCTTCTTCAATGCTTTACTTATTCGGGGCCTTTTCCCTTTCCATATGAAGTTGGTGATTTGTTTCTCCATCTCATTAAAAAATGCCAGTGGAATTTGGATCAGGATTGCATCATATCTGTAAATCCCTTTGGGTAGAATAGACATTTTCACAATATTGAGTCTTCCTATCCCTGAGCAAGGTATGTTTTTCACTTATGTAGGTCTCTTTTGGTTTCTTGCAGTAGTGTCTTGTAGTTTTCATCGTATAGGTCTTTTACATCTCTGGTTAGATTTATTCCTAAGTATTTTATCTTCTTGGGGGCTATTGTAAATGGTATTGATTTGGTGATTTCCTCTCTGAAGTTCTCTTTGTTGGTGTAGAGGAATCCAATGATTTTTGTATGTTTATCTTGCATCCTGATATTTTGCTGAAATCTTCTATTAGTTCCAGTAGTTTTCTAGTGAATTCTTTGGGGTTTTCTGTATATAAGATTCTATCATCTTCAAATAGACATACTTTCGCTTCTTCTTTACCAATTTGGATGCCCTTTATTTCTTTTTCAAGCCTAATTGCTCTGGCCAGGGCCTCTAGCACAATGTTGAATAAGAGTGGTGATAAAGGGCATCCTTATCTGGTTCCAGTTCTCAAAGGGAATGCTTTCAGACTCTCTCCATTTAGGGTGATGTTAAGGAATTTCCCTTGTATTACTATTTTGCTGAGAGTTTTTATCAGGAATGGGTGTTGGACTTTGTCAAATGCCTTTTCTGCGTCAATTGATAAGATCATGTGGTTCTTGTCTTTTGTTTTATTTATGTGATGGATTACATTGATTGTTTTTCTAATGTTGAACCATCCCTACATACTGGTATAAATCCCACTTGATCATGGCAAATTATTTTTTTGAGATGTTGCTGAATTCAATTGGCTAGAATTTTGTTGAGGATTTTTGCGTCAATGTTCATGAAGGATATTGGTCTGTAATTTTCTTTTTTTGTGGTGTCTTTACCTGGTTTTGGTATCAGGGTTATGCTGGCTTCATAGAATGAGTTTGAGAGTATTCCATCCCTTTCTATAATCTGAAGTACCTTTAGTAGTAGTGGTGTTAACTCTTCTTTGAAAGTTTGGTAGAATTCCCCAGTAAAACCTTCAGGGCCAGGGTTTTTTTTTGTTGGGAGATTTTTAATTACCTTTTCAATCTCTTCTTTTGTTCTAGCTTTATTTAGTTGTTCTACCTCTGTTTGTGTTAGTTTGGGTAGGTAGTGTGTTTCTAGACATTTGTCCATTTCCTCTAGGTTTTCAAATTTGTTAGAGTACAATTTTTCATAGTATTCTGTTATGATTCTTTCAATTTCAGTTGGGTCTGTTGTGATATCGCCCATCTCATTTCTTATACGGGTTATTTGCTTCCTTTCCTGTTTTTCTTTTGTCAGCTTGGCCAGTGGTTTATCAATTTTGTTGATCTTTTCAAAGAACTGGCTTTTGGTCTTGTTAACTTTTTCAGTTGTTTTTCTATTTTTGATTTCATTTAATTCTGCTCTAATTTTTATTATTTACTTTCTTCCAGTGCCCGAGGGCTTCTTCTGCTGCTCTCTTTCCATTTGTTTGAGTTGTAAGGTTAGAGCTTTGATTTTGGCTCTTTCTTCTTTTTGGATGCATGCTTTATTGCTATAAATTGACCTCTGAGTGCTGCTTTTGCTGTGTTCCAAAAGTTCTGATAGGATGTGTTTTCATTCTCATTTGATTCTGTGAATTTCTTTATTCTGCCCTTAATTTCTTCTATAACTCAGTAGTTTTTGAGCAAGGTGTTCAGTTTCCATATGTTTGATTTTTTTCCCTTGCTTTTTCTGTTATTGATTTCTACTTTTATGGCTTTATGGTCAGAAAAGAAGCTTTGTAATATTTCAATGCTTTGGATTCTGTTAAGGCTTGCTTTATGGTCTAATATGTGGTCTATTCTGGAGAACGTTCCATGTGTGTTGGAAAAGAAAGTATACTTGGCTGCTGTTGGGTGGAGTGTTCTGTATATGTCTGTGAGATCAAGTTGGTTGATTGTGTCATTTAGATCTTCCGTATCTTTATTAAGCTTCTTTCTGGATGTTCTGTCCTTCACTGAAAATTGTCAGCATGAACCCATCCAGAGGTGCCTCAGAAGACAAGCCTGGCAGTCTGCTTCCGAAAGGTCACAATCTTGAAAACCCTACGGAGCAGTTCTACTGTGCACACATGGGGTCACCATCAGTCAGAGTCCGTCTGAGGGCAACTAACAACAACAATAATTGTGTGGTCTATTTACTGACCAAGGAGCAATGGTGGCACAAACTGTTAAGCATTCGGCTGCTAACTAAAAGGTTCGTGGTTCGAACCCACCCAGCAGCTCCAAGGGAGAAAGACCTGGCGATCTGATCCTGTAAAGATTACAGCCTAGAAAACCCTTTAGGGCAGTTCTACTCTGTCACATGGGGTCTCTATGAGTAGAAAATATCTCGAGGGCACCAAACAACAACATTTACTGACCACTGACTATGTGCTGTGCAAAGCACTTCCCATGCATTATTGCATCCTAGTAACCCTATGGAATCCCCATTTTACAGATGAGGAAGTTGCAGCTCTGATTTAATAAAGAGCCTAAGGTTACCACCTAAAAAGAAGGGGGTTCAAACTCAGGCTGAGAGAAGGCAAGGGTCTTGAGAACTCCTTTGCCCTTCCTCCTTGGCTCTGATCATCTGGCAGCAGATGAGGTTGGCAGTGATGTCTCCTGGGTGTTTCCTTGCAGCTGGTCCCAGCTCCTAACTCCATTAACAAAAACTGCTCCCAGACCTCCTCACTCCTTCATTCAAGAATGTTGTGTTTGCTGCCCTGCAGCGCTGTTTCCAAGTGAACCAAGATAAAGAATTGAAAATTAACCATTTTGAGAGATAAGGTCAAAAATGGAGGAAAAGGGCTATTATTTACCTTCCCCATCCTGCTGGTCTTTTTGGTTATAGAACCACTGATACCACTGTAGCCACAATCTAATTTAGCCACATTTTATAGCGTCCATTCACATGGCAGGTGAGCTGGCAGCTTAGCTGCGTGTGCCTCCCTAACTAGGAACATGAGAGAAAATATTTCCCCAGTTTGGGATGGATTCTTGAGTTGTGGCAAATGGGTTATCCATTTTCAGGCTTTCTTGTGGCTCCCTGCCCAGCTGCCTCCCAAACTCTGTTACGGCCAGCACAGGGAGGGTCTGGGCACTGGGGTATCGCATGTGTTGAATCACATCTACATTTGACTGCATGCCAGAGCCAGATGCAAGCATTTTTGTTGGTTTGTTTTAATTCTCCATTATCTTAGATTATTCATGCTCTTCCTCTCTCCTCCCTATTACTGTGAATAATCCAGAACTGACTATAAGATGGTTGCATGACTTCTAAGAAATTCTCATGGGCCCTTCCAAACAAATAGCAGCCCCTTCTCACACAGAGTCCCTGGGTGGTACAAATGGTTAACATGCCCAGCTGCTAACTGAAAGATTGGAGGTTCGAGTCCACCCAGAGGTGCTTTGGAAGAAAGGCCTGGCAACCTACTTCTAAGAAATCAGCCATTGAAAACTCTATGGAGCACAGCTCTATTCTGACATGCATGGGGTTGCCATAAGTTAGAATCGACTTGACGGCACCTGGTTTAACTGGTCTCCATACACTCTTATGCCCTGCTAACCAGGTCCACATCTGGGTTATGCCACTGACACTTTTACTTTTTTTCCCCATTTTCTTATTTACAGTGTGTTTGTAACTAATGGCACAGTGATGTTATCCATATGAGTAAACTTATCCAACAGTACAATTTTGATATGTATATATTTATATATGGCTATGTCTATATGAGATCTTGTGAGATATTCAGATGGGTTAGAATTATCCTGGGGAAATGCTACATGAGAGACGCATTTTTCCCACTCGCTGATACATAAGCGTTGAGCTATTCAGCAAATTGAGGACTTTCTGTCTACCCCCAGGGTGATTCAGTCTGGCTGCCCTGTCCTATAATAATAGCCTAGGTTTTCAGTCCAGCCACAGTCCAGCCACAGGGCTTGGGATGTGTGTTTCCCTGCCCTATGCCAGATGACAAAGAGCCAGATGATGTGACTTCACATTCTTTGTAAAGCCTACTGGCTGTGGATGGGGAAGCCA